TGGTGCTTGTTTCTTGGCTGGCCCATCATTTCCATAACACTCCCTCATCCTGTACTCCACATCAACAATGGAAAGCCAAGAAATGCTGGCAAAGTGCATATTGACTTGGGTGGGAGTGAACAGCCCCATCACAAATGTGTGTCTAACATCCAGAATACATCCGTTGACGAGGCTCAAGTCAGGTTAAGGGGCTGCTGTGCAAGATCACAGGGTGGAGGAGTCCTCATAAGGGGCAAGGAGACAAGGATGAAGTCCAGAAGATGGAAGTGGCTGTCAAACACCCTCTTCTGTAAATGGGTTTCATCAGTGAACATTGTGTAGAATGTGTGTTCCAGCCCAGGAAAATCCAGTTCTAACTGAGGAGCTGGTGTTCAAGGACTATTTCAGGACATGTGAACCCTCAGGATACAGTACATGAAGGCCGACTTTGGTGCACAGAGCAGAAGGAGCTGTGAGATGAGTAGATAAAACGCAGAGGACAGAGAAGTGGGAAACAGGCAGGGGAGGAATTGGAGCAGAAATGGCAAAAGGGTGGAATGTCCAGAAAGCAGAAGGAAAGATAAGTGTATTCATTTTTAACTGCCCTAACAAAGGACCATGGACTGGGGGTCAGAACATGAAGTTCAGAAAGTGCCTAGACTGGCTTCCTAATTAGTACCTTTAAAGTGGGGAGGGTATAGCTCAATGGTAGAGTGTGTGCTTAGCATGCAGGAGGTCCTGGGTTCAATCCCCAATAACTCCATTAAAAATAAAAATAAATTTAAAAGAAGTGAAACTAATGAATCCGCGTATCTCTAAGTGGAAAGAGCTAGGAGATCCGCTCTTTACCAGCATCCACCCGCCCACACTCCCGTCGGTCTCGGCGCCTCTCCCCTAAACGCCCTCTGCTCCTCACTACGGCTCCAATAAACCTGTCCCTGCATCAAAGCCTTTGTACCTGCCATTTTCACAGCCTTGCAGGCTGTTCCCTGGCCTCGGTTAGCCCCATTCTTCCTGTCGTTGGGCATCTATGCTCCTAATCCCTGACCCCGCCATCGAGGTAGGGCCCCCAACAGTCTTTGTCACATCATTGTGCTTTGTCTTGCACAGAACACTTAGCTCTGACCTAAAGAATACTACCAATGGTCTGTCCGGCTATTGACTGTCCAGCTCTGCCCTAGTATGTGAGTTCTAAGGAAGAGAGAGCAGTAAGAATATCTGTGACCTTCTTGTTCACTGCTGCAACCTTAGCACCCAGCCCAGAGTCGGGCACATGTCACGGGTGCCCCTTGAGATAAGGAATGAACCCGTGTGGCCCTAAGCTTCTGCAGAGACTCACAGGATAGAACAAGACGCAGCTTAGGGGGACATGCCCAGCTCTGCGCTGCCAAGTTGCGCCCTGGGGGGAGCGCTCCCGACGCGAGCCTATTTCCCCCTTGGGACGGAGGATTTCAACACTTACCAGGTCTGCCAGGGGTTGGGGTTAGGGTTAAGGAGAGCGCTTCAGAGTCACTGCACCGCGGCTCTTCCTTTGTAGTCTGATCTATCCGTGTTCGCAGGGCTGCAAGGCCGGGGACTGTCGTCCAGGTGCGGAGCCGCCGCACATTAGAAGCGCCGTCAAGGTGATGAGGAACCGATCACTTCCTCCTCTCGCTGCCCTACATCGGGTCTGACAAAAGCCCTCCCGCGGTCGTCACAGCAGCTCGGGCATCGGGTCCCTGATTGGTCACAGCCCTACACTCGCCCCGCCTCCCAACTCCTCTCACTAGACTGCGGCCCAAACTCGAAGTGCGCGCAGGTCTACAGCGTTGGGGGGGGGGCCGAAGGAGGGCAAAATTGCCGTAGCAACGCTGGCCTCAGGCTCCCTATTGGCTATCAGTCCAGGCCCGCCTTCCCTGCTCCTCCCACCAGGCTCTGGGGAGGGGTAAGATGCGCGCGCAGCCCTACAGAGTTGTGGAGAGAAGGCGGGCGAAGTTGCTATGGTCCCGGAAGTCGCGCCCCCAGCCCGGAATGAGGCCTCTGATTGGGCCTCGTTGCAGACAACGTCCTAGCTTTCGCCCGGAACGCCGCTGAGGTTAAGCTAGCGGGAGATTCTGAGGCTGGAAGAGTCGGAGAATAGAGGAGAGAGATGCGGCTGCGGGGCAGGAAGGAAGGAAAACCGAGGCTGCCCCGCCAGGGCGTGGCGTTGAGAGGAGGAATCCACGCCGGCCCAGCCCTAAGCCTCAGTCTCCTCGTCCGTAACCTGGACTTCGGCTCCCAAGGTCCAACGAGGGCCCCTCGTGGCCCTTGTTCCCTCGGCCTGAACACAACAGGATGTCCAGATGGCCTGGGGCGGGTGTTGTGTGGGCAGAGGCCTCCCTGAACCCTTGTGAGGAGCGGATGGCTAGATCCTGGTAAAGTGGGGGCACCTGGTGCCCCTCGGGGGTAAGGAGAGGAGACCTGGGGGACGGCCTGTGAAACATTTGGGGGCCCCACCAGCGTGGAGGGGGTGGCAGTATTGTCAGAATGATAGCTCTTCTTCTCAGCCCTCTGACATCAACCGCCATACGAAGTCCCGCCTTGTTCCCAATGTGCCCCCAGCGGTACACAGCAGGCGCTCAATAAATACTTGTGGATGAACGAATTATTCCTGCAAGTAGTTTATTGTCTCCCATTTTACAGAAGACAGAACCAAAGTCTGGCGGGTAAAGCCTCCCAGGCACCATGTCAGGCACTGAGGCTGACCCTGACCCAGTCTTTGTGTCTGGGTGTTCAGAGACATTGAGACTTTGGAGGAGGAGCAAACCTGAGGCAGGTGGTGGGGAGAGGGTCCAGCAGGGTTGGAGTGGGCAGAGGGAGGGCCGGAAGGGCACAGCTTCAGGTGGCCACAGAAGCTCGTAGGCAAGTGTGGGGAGGAGTACCCCATGATCCTGGCCCCGGGGTGGCTTCAGGCAGACCCTTCGTTCATGGGCAGTGGGCAGGCAGACATGGAGATAGTAATCAGCAGACAGGGACACTCAGACAGGACCCCTGGGCTCTGTCACCAACCTCATTTTACGGGAAGAGAGACTGAGGCCCTAGGCTCCCAGGTGGGAGGGTGGAGAAGCAACCCTTCCCCATAGTCCCGAGGAGGGAGGTGGAAGCACATTAGGACAGGTAGGACTGCCCACTGCCCTCAGCCGCCATCACCCTGCCTCAATGCCAGCTGTCGTTTCCCATGAGCACCCTTTAAGAGACAGCTCTGAGGTCTTCTTCCTCCAGGCAGCCTTCCTTGAACATCCTCAGGCAGAAAGCATCATCTCTTCCTCTTTTGTGCACTGTCAGCCAAGGGCCCCTTTCTGACCCCTTGGCTGGGCCCATCCCTGCCAGTTCTACACTGGCCCCTAAAAAAAAAAACTCTCCCAGCCTGGGGTGGAGGAGGGAAGGGATGAGGAGGGAGATATCTGAGATCCTATGGTAAGTTGAATAATGGCTCCCAAAGACATCCAGATCCTAATCCTTGAAATCTGTGAACTTACATGGCAAAATGGACTTTGCAGATGTAATTAAATTCAGGATATTGAGTTGCAGAGACCAGCCTGGATTATCCAGGGGGACTCAATTTAATCTGTGTCCTTATAAGTGAAAGAGAGAGTCAGGAAAGTCAGGAGATTGGAAGACGCTATACTGTTGCCTCTGAAGAGACAGTAGGAAGCCAAGGAAAGCAGCTCTAGAGGATAAAGCTAAGGAAATTCTTTCGTAGAGTCTCCAGAAGGAACTAGCCCTGCGGACACCTCAACTTTATCCTGGTGAAACTGATTTCAAGATTTCTGGCCTAAAGTACTGTAAGGTACCTAACGTGTTCCTCTAACGAACTGGTGGTAATTTGTTGCAGCAGTCAAGGAAAACTAATACAAACCACCAATCAACCCTGCCTGCCTGACCAGGTCTCCTCCCTGTGGGGCTGGGCTGTACCTGCCCAGTGACCCAGCACGCTCATCCCGGCCCCTGTAGCTGTCATTGACCCCAGGCATGGTCCAGGCAGACACTTGCTTCGAAGCCCTGATGTTTGTCCTCCTGCTTCTCACCTGGAAGCAGAAGATCTCAGCAAAAGGAGCCCCACTGACATGCTGAGGTCAGGGTGGCTGGGAGCCGAGTGAACCGAGGGTACCTGGAGGCATTCCCAGGTTGCCTCCTGGTTACCTGCAGTGCTGTCACTCCCCAGAAAACTATTTGGTACCCACTGTATGCCAGGTGCTGAGGACACACATGTAAACAAATCAAACAGGGGCTTTCAACCCCACAGATGTCACATTTCTCTCTAAAAAGGCCGGATGCCCACCTGCTACACACAGCATCCCAAACCCAGGTGAAGTGAGGCAGAATGGGGGCCCCAGGGCTTAAGGGGTAGGCAGAAGGCCCATGTTCAGTTTGTTCAGAAGTTGACTGCCATCTACCCAACGGTGACTAACTCAGGAAGGCTTCTGGGAGGAGGAAGGAATTCAAGAGCTGCCCTCCCTGTAGGCTGCTGTCCAGAGGAAGGGCTGAGGCATACCACAGGGTTGCCACAAAGGCTGATGGAGCCCTCAAGTAGGTGCAGGAACTGGCCCTGAGTATTTGAGTGGAGATGGAGGTGATGGGGCCTCTCGTGGGCAGGGATAGGGGCCAGGGTCCCTCAGGAAGGCCAGGGATGTCCAGGAGCAAGCTCCCACCCAAAATCACATGACACTGACCCAGAGGACCACCTTGGCCTCTTTGAGACTCAGTGACCACAGCTGCCCCACAGCATATTAGAAGAATCCCAGAAGCCACTGCCCCCAAAAGAAGTCAAGGCTCCCATTGCATTTTGATATCAGGACCCAGGTGGGAGCCAGTCTTTGAGGCTCAGGCCCTATCAATCCCTCCCCAGCCCTGACCACACTACTCCAAGCCCAAGTCCCAGCCAGGTGTGCAAGGCAGCAACCCGGGAGCAGCACAGAGATGGCGGGATCCCACCCAGGCCCAGCCTGCAGGCAGCAGAGTAGAAAATAAACTTCACACCCTAAGGTGGGGGGTAGTTAGCCTTGCAATGGGCCGGTCAATGGGTGTGGCCAGGGAGTGATCTGCCATCCAAAGACGGGAGTCCCCAGCACCTGCAGAAACCCAGAGGATAGGTAAATCAGAGCCTTCAGCCCTGGTGCCAGCCAAGGGTGAACGTTCTCCCGCGCCTCTGATGACTGAGGGTGCACTCAGTAGGACTCTCAGGATCTGGGATATGGGTGCCCCGCTTAGGGCCCCTGCAGGGATTTGGCCAGGGCCTTCGCTGCTGGACTCCCACAGTAAAGGATGATCAAAGGTACTCCCAACTGTACCCTCCTGGAGACGAGGTTTATGGGTGGGTGCCTTCCAAACGGGCCTTTGGGAACATGGAAGGCAGGGCAGCCCCAGCTGGACGCCCACAGGGACTGGAGTCAGGGGTGCTCCTGAGAGGGTCCCTCCCGCTTATGCTGCCAGAGCTCTCTGTAGCAATGGGTGCTTGCCCTGCGTCCTCTCCAGCCTCCATGGGCATCATGGCGGAGTTGTCATGGAGAGCATCAGGATGGGGCCGAGGTCCCCAGGCCTGGAGGCAGGGCCTGCAGCGCAGATGCGTTTACTGTGGCCCCCACAGCCTCCTCCCGCCCCGTGCCCGCGGGGCCCAGTGAGGATCAGCCTCCGCCCCCAACCTGCGGTCCAAGGGCCTGTCTGGTGTCTCATCAGGAAGCCCCTCGGGCGCCAGCGCATCCTCTGCAGCCACTGGCGGGGCGGTGTCTAGGTCTGGGTCCATGGGGCGCGGTGTCCAGGCAGGGGTCCAGAGCGCCCCCGGTGTGGGCCGAGGCGGCAGCCAGGGGAAGCCTTGCGCGGGGGCGAGCGCCACAAGCTGGGGCCGCGCTGGGCCGGAGGTGGAGGCGCGCGGGATGAGGAAGAAGATGTAGATGCCCGAGACCACAAGGCCCGCGGCCACCAGCACGGCCAGGGCCACGGCCGCGTGGAAGACCCAGGCAGAGTTGGCCAGCGTCAGACGGCGGGACAGTGGACGGCCGAGGCGCAGCGGCGGCGGCGGCGGCGGCGGGCGGGCCTTGCGCGGCCCGGGCGCGGGGGGCGGCGGCCGCAGGTAGAGCAGGCCACGCCGGCGGTCGAAGCGCACGGAGCCCTGGCGTGGCAGCGGGGTACGCGCGGTGCGGGGCAGGAGGCCATGCTGCGTGGGCAGGGAGGGCAGCCCGCGGCGCGGGGCCAGGCGCGTGGGCGCGCGGCACACTGGGCAGGCCACCGCGTCGCCGCCGCCCGCTGTGGCCAGAGACAGGCGAGCCAGACACTCGAGGCAGAAGACATGGCCGCAGTCCAGGCGCTTGGGCAGCTTGAATACGCTATCAAAGGGTGACACGCAGATGAGGCACTCCACTGGGGACGCCGGCGGCAAGATGAGCCCCGAGCCTGGGCTGCAGTCCCCTTCCTCCTCCTCGCCCTGATCTTCGTCCTCCCCTCTGCTGGGGGAGCAGGGTGCGGTCAAGGAGCCCGGGGTGCTGGGGCCCGAGCCCTGGGGGGCCCGGGGGCGGTGGAGCCAGGGCGGCCGAGGGCAGGGCATCCGGACCTGACCTGCGGGGAGAGGTCAGAGGAGAGGAGAGGGGGCCTGGGGAAGGTTAGGGGCTGGACTCTGAAGGGATCACTCAACAGAGCAGGGGCTTCCGGAGAAGGGGTAGCAGAGACCGGTGGGGCAGGAGGCTGGGAGGATGATGGGGGTGTGCAGGACTGGAGGTGGGCAGGTTGACAGAACAGAGGAGCCCTTAAGAGAATTGGACACAGGGACAGACACACAGATTCTGAGCTAGACCTGGGGGACACTACAGGAGGGAGCTGACTGGACCCAAGTGACTCCACGAAGAACCCGACAGGGAGGAGCATCTAGGGACCCTCAGAACTGGGCAGACCGACCCTGAGGAGACCACGGAAGACTCAAGGGCAGGGCAAGTGAGGGACAGGGCACCCAAGCTTTCGGATGGGTGGCCACCAGCCTGGCCAGAAACCCAGGAATCAGTGGGTCCCCACCCATGAGACCCCAGCTGGCCAGCAGCCCTTCATACCTGTTACACCTCCTCCCTCTGGCTGGAGCTCCTCACCAGTTTTGACCCCAACCACAGGCCTACCAGCAGCTGGGTATGTAGTGCCCCTCCCTGTGGGAGGGTGCCTGTGTTGGGGCCACTCCCTCCAGATCCCAGGCTCCTGCCAGACCTGTCTGACTGCCCACCCCACCTCCAGATTGGTCCAGACAGGATGGTGAACACTAACCCTGACCTTGCGGATGTCGGGGGTGTTGGAAAGGTGGAGCCCCAGGTTGACCCATCAGTGAGTCTGGACCCCTCAGGATTTAGCCTTACCCCTACTCCCAGTCTCCCAACACCTCCTCACAAATCTATCTCAGAGCCATGGGTGGGAATCTGCAGCTCTGTGGGTGCAAGGGGCTGGGGAGGCAGTGTCCAGGGAGAGGAGGGTGGACTTCTTGAACCCTGGGGTGCTGAAGCCAGGCAGGCCCCACAATGGACTGGTTCAGCTGCAGACAAGGGGCAAGAAATTGTTCTAGCCCAGAGGGGCCTTGGCTTCCCCTCCTGTGGCTGCTGCCTGCCTGGTAAAGTGCTTCTTAGGGTGGTGGGCTGCACTCACCAAGCCCCTCCCCAAACCAGTGACACCTCTGCTGAGACAACCCCACCCCTCCAACTTCCAACACCTGCTGGAACAGTCCAGGCAGCCAGGCCTGCACCCCGGGGTGCCATGGTTCTGAGTCAGTGGTGCTTCCCTGGTAAATCCAGGTCCCTGCAGGAGAGTAGACATGCCAGGAATGTTGGCAGCTCAAGTCATCCTGCCCCTGGCCCTGCACTTCGACACCCTTCCCTCATCCGTCAAGGACAGACAGTGGCACAGGGGGGTGATGCCACCCCAAAGGGCACAGAGGTTTATTGGGGCTACAGCTTGGCGATCAACGGTTAGACTTGGCCACGCGTTCCAGCTCATCCTTCTTCTTGATAGCGTAGGAGTTGGAGGAACCCTGCAATAAAGGGTAGTTAGTGCCAATGTTGGATGACCCTCCCCTGAGACCCCCACCCCCTGCCCCGAATCCTCACCCACCTTCGCCGCGTTGATGAGCTCATCTGCCAGGCACTCGGCGATGGTCTTGATGTTCCGGAAGGCAGCCTCACGGGCACCTGTGCACAGCAGCCAGATGGCCTGGGGAGCACACGGGTCAGCTAAGCAGGAGGTGCCCTTAGTACCCAGGACCCCAACCAATACTGGCTACCACGCTGCCATCGCTGGGCCACCGAAGCAAGGCACTGCGGGAGCCCACAGCACTGCCCAGCTGGCATGCTGCTACACCCAGGATCAGACTGAAGGCCACAAAAGTGGGTCCCTGATAACAGGGGACTCGAGACTGGCTATGACAGGGAAATGCAATGTGTGCTCCTGGCCTAGAACCCTTTAAGAAAAACAAACAGCTATGGACAGTTTATGCTGAGGGCAGCTCCATAACTGGAACAGTGTGAACTTGTAAAATATTCAACTGCTGTTAAATGCCTTGGGGGATGACACTGGGGATAGAACGTCCTTGCTCCTAGGAGACACCCACTGAAGTGTTAATGGGGAAACAGGAAAAAATCCTGCAGAGGGATTCTCAAATGGTCTAAGGAAAAAAAAACCCCAAAACAACAGAGTACAAACATGTACCCAAATGAAACTGGCCCCTCAGCCAAATGCCGCCCAGGAGAGGGCCCAGAGGTAGTATCTGCCCTGCACAGAGTGGGAATCTAGGAAGGCTTCCTGGAGGAAATGACACTCAGGTAAAACACTCAGACAGAGATGAATATTACCACTTGCCAGTCTCTGCCCCAGGCAGGATTCTGCCAGTGCCTGGACGCTGTTCCTGGCCAGCCAGCTGCGCTGAAAGCCATAAGCCCACCTGATTCACACGGCGCAGTGGTGACACGTCCACGGCCTGCCGCCTCACTGTTCCAGCTCGCCCGATGCGGGTGGAGTCCTCCCGGGGGCCACTGTTGATGATGGCGTTCACCAGGACCTGCAGGGGGTTCTAGGGGTGGGGGGAGCCTATGAGCTGACACCTGGCCCATACCTCTCCGCAGCTCCTACCCTTGCCACTTGGAACCGCCCAGCCTCAGGGACCTACCTCGCCCGTGAGCAGGTGGATGATCTCGAAGGCGTGCTTGACGATGCGCACGGTCATGAGCTTCTTGCCGTTGTTGCGGCCGTGCATCATCATGGAGTTGGTGAGGCGCTCCACGATGGGGCACTGTGCTTTGCGGAAGCGCTTGGCTGCATAGCGCCCTGCACTGTGGGGCAGGTACTTGGCATACTTCTCCTTCACAGCAATGTAGTCCTGGTGCAGCAGGAAGAGGGGCAGAGGGACCGCGGTCAGGAGCAGGATGGACCCAATCCTCCTTAGGTAGCCCCACCCACCTGCGGGGGCCTGGGTTTGAGCCCCTGGCGGCCACAAGGAGTAAGACTTGGCCACAACGAATGAGACTAGCACAAGAGACTCACAAAGTCAGTAAAAAGAGCACATCTATAATCAGAGGAAGAAAAGTGAAGAACTAAGATTACAGCCCATGATCCCACCTCAAAATGCACTACGAACGTTTTGCATTAGGTTCTGGAAAGCTGGCATGTGCACTGTGGGATACTAAGCAGCACCCACGGTGCCCGGAGCGCTCCTCAGTACTGAGGCCCAAAAAAATGCATCCAGACAGTCCCCTGAGGGGGAAACAAATCACCTCAGGAAGCCACTGTTTGAAAAGAATCATTCAACAATCTTGTCTATGTATACATATGTTTCCCAAGATAAAGTCTGGAAAATCATAAAATCCCAGGTCAGAGGAACCACATGTAAGTTAAGAAGCCTTTCAACATTTCCACCATAAAACGTACTCAGTCATTCTATAAGGTGCATATGGGAACATATACAATGAGTTTCTACAAATACAAGGATTAACAAGAAAAGAACACAGAGGATTTTCTGAGACCGGCACCAGTCAGGTGTCTAACCCAGAGAGAACCACCTGCACAAACAGGGAAAGAGACAGGTGCTCATGCAAGGCTTCATGCTGTGCAAGAAAAAGTGCAAACACCGAACGCCTCAGCAAGGGTTTGGTTAGGCCGTCTGGCCCCACGGTGTGGAGCCCTGCACAGCTTTCACAAGTGAGATCTGGTACCACGCTGACTTCCCAGCCCCTAGGAGAACACCAGGGGAAAAGGGAAAAATAGCTTTTACATCATTAAGAAAACAAACAAACAAAAAACCCAAAAAACACACAAGGAAACACACATGTGACAGAGACCACAGGGGACCCACAAAGAAGAAAACATTTACTATCTGGTCCTTTTTTGTTTGCTAACTCCTCCATCAACAAACCCATGAAGGAGAACAGCTCTTCAAGACATTCAGAGTGAAAAACAGGTCTGAATTCTCCTTTAGGCTTAGTGCGTACATTCCATGATACAGTTAGAGGCAACAAAAAGTTTTAATTCCTTTTAAAACGAGAAAGGGAAAATGTACATGATCCATCCTGAACTTATTATATCAATACAGTCACAATCTCTTCTTATGAAAAGGCCACAAAGTCCTAAAGGGATCAAGAGTAAAATAGTGTGGGGGCAACATAAAGTGGGAGAACTCCCATTTCCCAATTTCAAACCCTATTACAAAGTGACAATAATCAAGGCGACGTGGCACTGTCAGAAGGACAGACACAGAGACCAATGAAATAAAGAGTTCAGAATCCAGAAATAAACCCTTACATCTATGCTTAAGTGATTTTAACCAAAGATGCTGAGATCCTTCAGTGGGAGAAATACTCTTTTTAACAAATGTGCCAAAATACATACATATAATGTATAAGGGAGACTTCAAGGTACATTTTATCGCCTAAATTTATTAAATTTAAGATGCATAAAACTCCAAAAAAACAAAAACAAAAGGCGCTGAGATAACTAGGTTTCCACATGCAAAATAACGTTGGGTCCTTACACTTTAAAAGGGTTACAATGGTGGATTTTATGTTACCTGTATTTGACTACAGGAAAACAAAAACCTGGGGAATGTGATACTACTCCCCAAGGAAGAAACTGTATCCTGACAAAAACTAGGAACCTCTAACAGGACAGAAGGAAAAAATGGACATAGTGGGCGCAGTGGGCCAGGGATCCCTCCTTTACCCGTCCCACTTTCAACTGTTGACTTAGTGGGACAGTTTCAAGTGACCCCACCTCCAGCTGGGGAACACAATCACTACATCCCCTCACCTGCAAGGAAATGTCGTTGATCTGCACATCATCGGTGCTCCACTTCCCAAAAAGCTTTATGTCCGGGGTCTCTGCTACTGCAGGTGCAGCTGTCTCCCACTCCGTCATCCTAGAAACAGAAATTGGTAAGGTCTAAGCACACCGACCACTGACTCTGAGGCTAGCCTATATCCTGAGAACTGAGAAGTTAGCAGGAATCAAGGAAGACTGTGAACGTCTGGGTCCACCTTGATGAGCCTTAGAAAAACCATTCGTCAACAAGAAACATCTATCTCTCACCCAAGAACCCTGGGGCCAATAGGGGGCAGGCACCCGGTCGACAGTTGCCGAGCAACCCAGAGATGGGCAGGTGATGTCCGATGCCCTGACGTTGCATCTGTTCGAATTCAAATCCCAACCGTATTCCTCATGAGCTCTGAGACCCTAGGTAAGCCTAAAAACCGCTTTGGACTCAATTTTCTCATCAGCAAAATGAAAAAAGGATCACGGCAAGAATTCTGCGCTTTATCGTCGCAAACATTGAGATTGTTGTCCGACCCAGAGGAGGCACTTGGGGCTGCTATTCAGGAGAAAACATTTCCAGATCAAAGCGTGCATTGTGCATCTGAAGATAACGGAAACTTCTTATGTAAACAAAACACAAATGCAGAGACTAAGCCAATATTTCCGTGTCCGCTGCAAGGCAGGGCTATGGCGGCGGCGGCGGGACACCAGCAACGAGGCCAAGAGTAACTTCCCCACGCCTCCACCTGCGTCCTTCGCAAAAGGGAAGCCTCCGGCCTCCGGGCCAGCCCACGGCTCCCGAGAGATCTCGGAAGGTCCCGGACTGGCCGTCGGACCTCTGACTCGGCGGCAGCCTCACCTGAAGGAGTAGGCGAGGACTCCCAGTCGCTCGGCGCAGACCACGCGCGGGTCTGACACACACAGGAAAAGGCCGCGCTCAGCGGGCCGACGCTTTTAAGGAAGGCGATAACTTCCGGGTCAGCGGAGGAGACGCGTGCGCAGAAGGGGACAGCATATTCACGGACCAATCCAAAGCGAGAATGTAAAGGCGCCCTCTGGGCCGGAAGGAACGCGTAAAGTCTCGAGGCATGCGTACTTTTAGGAGCGAGCCCAAATGCATACCTGGCGGATGTCCGGCTTCCAGTGCTTGCCCGTTGAGAAGGCTCCCTAGCACAGGCGCAGAGGTCTCTATGAGGCCACCGCCGCCATGTCTAATGAGGGCAGAAGTCTGGCTCGCACTCGCTCCTGCGCGGGCACGAAAGTGCTGCAGGCCCGGGCGGCTGAGCGGTGTCCTGGTCTCACCACGGCTCTTCACTGTTACGGGCCCCGCGCGTGTGTGTGGGCGGGCACCACTCATGGGTCCCCCTACCCCACAGTCGCGCGCTTGGGCTGCTCGGGCCGGAGCCTACGAGAGGGAACCCCCCCTCCCGCCCCAGTGTCTCTCTGTGACCCCGCGTTTCCTGTCCAGTTATCTCTTGCCGGCGGGGGTCGGAGAAGTGCCCTGAAAGAGGAGCTTGGGGGACAACCTCCGCCCTTTTTAATCTAACTGGGGCCTTAGCTCCCGAGGTCACTGGAGGAGTGCACTGGTCGGCACGGTGGTGGGTGTCCTGCCCACTCTGCAGCCACACTGAGTGTCCCTGGCGGTCAGCATGAAGAGCACGGGCCAGCTTTTCACACCCCTAGCGTAGACCCTGGAGCCAAGCTGGGATATGGTCGCTTCCCTGGCAGGCTTCGCAGAGGCAGCGACCACTGTCGCTGAGGCTGCACACTCATGCTGAGGGCAGGATGGCATGGAATGTAATCTGGCAGAGCTGTCTTCAAGGCGGCAAAGCTCTCCTCACCTCCCGGTGCGCATCTGAACTTACATGTGCGAAGGCTCCCCTCTCAGACCCGAAGGGGCCCAGCCACGTGACCCAGGCGGTCTTTCATTTGTCCCCAGCAACCTCACTTGCCCACCCTCAGGGCATACTCATTGCAAATGTTAGGCAGTTGCGATGTTTGTTGACTGACTGATTATAAAGGTTACTGACCAACTATAAAGGCTTGCCCCTACATCCAACCCAATTCCAGGAGTTTCAGACCCCAAACGGTGGGCCCCCTTAGACTGTTACCAGTCACAGTTTATTCTACTGCTCAGGGGGATATAGGCCCTGAAGCTGGTCTGGGCAGGGGATTACACTTCAGGCTCTAGTGGGGGCACAGGAGCTGCATGCAGAGGCCAAGGCCCACAACCCCTGCAGCCTGTGCCTCCCACTGGGATCTGTGGCCATGGGGAGGGGCTGTGTCGGCTCCTTCCTAGTCCTGAAGAGACCCTCTCTGATCCTTGGGGGCCCTCCCTGGTCCTGGGGGAGGCCACTGGGGAGGTGCTGACTGGGGGGAAACAGGGAGGCTGGTAGTACACCAAGTACCCTCACACTCAGCAGGATCCAGAGGGGGCCCCCCAATCCTCTTTCCCCTCAAAAGCTGATAGGGCCCCTCCACCCCAAACCTCAGTTTCTCCCTTTAGTGTGGAAAAGAGAACTAAATCAGACAAGGCCACTTTGGAGCCTGTGGCCTTGATAATGGACATCTTCACAGACCTCACAGGAGTGACCCACTGTGCACTGGAGGGTTGGGGGAGGTCCTGCAGTAAAGCCTCTCAGGTGGTGGAAAGGCTGTGGGGGGGTGGCTACCTTGCATAGCTAACGGTCACACACCACTTGCCAACCCTGAGGAGTCCAGCCTCCCCAGGTCCCTAGGACACAGGGACAAATTCCAGAGACTGACCCCTTAAGTCTAGGGATGTTGGTGCTGTGTTCTTCAGACGGGGGAAAGTCTCTGTCGAGAGTCCCCTCAATACCTGCTGCATCATGTCTGCCCTGGGTGGACCAGCCCTGGCCATCTCCTCTGCCCTGATTTTTAAATGCTCCATGAGGGCAGAGTCTGTCTGGTTTGTTCCCTCCTGTGTCCCCACCTGCACATACTGAGTCTGGCACACAGGATCTGCTCACAAGTACCTGTTGAATAAAGGATGGATGGAAGGATGGATGGGCCAGTTCTCCCTAGTTCCTCACAAACTTCCTGCTCCCACTCTGGGCTTCAGGCAGACACTGAGCAGCTGGGACCAGAAACCAAACATTGAGTTCTGCTGTCTCCTGTTCAGACCTCCTTACCTGGGTCTACCCCTCTTCCTGGCCACCTCTTAATTGAAGTCAGCCTAGGGAAACCCCTTCCTAACCCCAGGGAAGCATTTGGAGTCTAGGAATCAGATCACTGCTCTTCAGAACAATTTGATGAGGTAGTTATGGAGGCCCAGAGAGGTGCAGTCACTTGCCCAGGGTCACACAGCAGAAGAGGGCAGAGCTGAGATTCTAAGGTGGTTATTTCCAGAGCCTGACTTCTCCTGCCTTGGTTGGCCTCCCCTCCCTCTCTGCATCATGTCTCCGGCGAGTTCCTGGGATTCCTGCACATATCAAGTGCCCAATAAATATTTGCCAAATGAACAAATGAGTTCAGTCAACTCTATGTCTTTCCACTGGCTCTGGTATGGTCCAGAGAGGGGTCTCCCTGCCCCTTCGGCTCCTTCCTTTTTAAAGAAAGGGCTGCTGAGCTAACCTTAACCATGTAATTACCAAGGAGGGTGGGATCCTGGGTTCTAAGACTGCTCGAATAAAGGAACAAGTGAATGTGGACCAAGAGCAATATTTACTGTTCCTCTAACTACTGCATGACTTTTTTTCTCCCCTACCTACAGCTCCTAGGCAGACATCAAGGTTATCTTTCCCACTGTCCTGGGCTGGTCACTGCCCTGGCCAGGTCACTGCCCTGGCCACTGACTGTCAGTCTAAAGCTGGGTTCACAGGGGCAGGTGGCCTTTTTGCTTGTTACAGGAGAGGGAGTTGTAGACCTCAAAACAAGGAGGTGCCTGGGCCAGCTCACCTACTGGTGAGCTAGCCTGAGCCCCTTCCAATTTGCTTAGCGATAAATCAGAACCACGTGTTCAGGGTGGCTCTCTGGAATTGGGGGCGGGCAGGGCTGGGGCAACAGGGCAACAGAGCAACAGGGCAACAGGGCAGACCGTGCAGGGCTGGGGTGGCAATGCTGGATCCGATGCAGATTTGCAGCACTTGGGGTAAAGAACAGAGGGGAGGTCGAGCTGACCTTAGCGCAGGGTCTTAATAGGGGGCCTCAGAGGCTTGGGTTAAGGATAAATCCTGAAACATATTTTGGCCATCCAAATATTCGGAATGAGTGGTTACGGGATCTCAAATTTTGGGACCAGATATATGAATTCCGAAGTCTCACATATATGGATTCGTGGTAGCTGCGATTTGGAGGTGCGAGGCACAAATTGGGAGAGAAATGGGGACCTGGACTCGAGGAGTGGGACTTCAAGGCCTTAACTGGAGGAGAAACAGGGAACTGGATTTGGGTGGACCCGGAAGCAGGAACTGGGGAAGGCCCAGGCAACTGGATCGGGCGGAACTAGAGACAGGAACTTAGAAAGCTCAGGACACGGAGTGGGAGAACCCGGCCATTGGGGTTTGGAGGGTGGTCTAAGCACACGGCGCTCCGGCATACCTCAGTCGTGCGCGTGGAACCGGCTGACCCCGCGGACCCGGACCGGAAATCCCGCCCTCCCCGGGAAGGGCCAATCACCAGCACTCAAGTGATTGGCAGGTAGGGCGTCTTCAAAGCGATAGCGAATCACAGGAAGGCTGCAGCATCACCCGGAAGCTGGAACCCCCACCCACACCCCGTGGGGGCCAGTGGAGGCTTGGTGGTCGTCATGGTAACCATGAAGGCCAGTCAAGCCCCGACAAGATCGCAGGTTGCTCTCCCGCCCGGTTCTCCGCCGATAAACGACTGGGCGCGCCGAGTCCGGGGCGGGCCGTCATTTTCTCCAGCCTCTCCATCCCGGCCTCCTCTGGTCACTTCTGGGGAAAGGGACCCTGACACCGCGCCGGCCTGGAGAACTGAGGAGATGGCCGTCCTCGGGGCGCCAGAGCAACCCATTCCGGGAATCCCCGAGGGACGAGCGCCGGACTCTCGGAACTTTAGGTCCGGGCAGGGCCGCGGCCTGGATGGGTAACTGGCCTGGGAGTCCGGCCATGTCGGAGCTTCGGGTCCGAGGCCGCTCGGAGGGCTGTATGTGCTCCCAAAGGGCCACTCATTTTCCCGGAGGGAAGCGCGAGCGCCCGGGCGCCCCCTAGGGTGGAAGGCCTCCCTTCTGGGGAGGGAGCGGGGGTCGCTGTGCTCCCGCGGCCGCAGGGCTGAGGTGAAGGGTTGGATAGGTGGGGTCCTGGACCTAGTCGTGGCTGCGAGTCTGGCTGCACAGGTTCACTCGGGATGCATGGCTTTCCTGTTGGGCCTCAGTTTCCTCATCTGGAAAGTGGGGACAACACAGGCAACCACCTCATGCAGGGGTGTGAACGCCCATCCTTTACCATGTGGCCCCCGAGGTGTGAGCTGCGTTTAAAGGCCTGCAGTGACTCTGGGCACTAAAGTTGGGAGATTCCTGGAGACCTGACAGCTAAAAATTTGGTCTACGCCTGGCTTCCTCTCTCTGAACCCCCATTTCCCTATCTGTAAAAAGGGGGGGTGGCACTGCCACCTTTCTAGACTTGACATGAGGACTAAGTTAATCAGTCTGTGTAACACTCTCAGCACAGGGCCAGATGGTGGCTAGCTGGCACTCTGAAAATTGTTGCTGCTTTCAGCTAATTTAGAAAATGGACTACCCACCCAGCAGATATTTACGGAGATCTGTGTGCTGGCTCCAGATGCTGCCCCAGCAATCTCTAGCCATTGGAGCTACTTTCTCTCAGGCTCTGGTTAGTAGGGAGCTTTGCCCAAATCCTGATCTCCACACACCGCATAATAAAATGATATACTTCCCCAACACACACACTGCCTCCCCCTGCCCCTGCCCTTGGAAAATGTAGCATTTTTATGAAAACTTTCCTAGGCCAAAATGGTGTGTACAACAGAGAAGCAATTAC